TTTGAGGGGCATTTTTTTACTTTTGCGGATCTCACTGTATTTAATTGACAATAAGTTCTTATTTACTCATTTTTCATAATACAGAGGTGTAATTTGAACATGAAGGATGGGTGTTATTTGCACACTTTTCAAACTACAAATATGTTTTTTGTACTTTACCCATATATATTGGATTTATATTGAAAAAATATATTTTTATAGTCCATGGTTATTGGGTTAAAAAAAATGTACAAGTTGATCAGGTTGAGGTGATACAATTAATTAAATGGGTTGGGCTCCAAAACACTCGATTTACTAATAAGCCAACTTGACGGTTGTTAGTATAAAAATTCATTCACTTCTGAATACCGAACAATTTGATTAGGAGTTGGTACACAAAGAACAAAATTTAATGGGTTAAATGAGATGAAACGATTACGATGCCAACATGATTAAGTTCGACACAAACACAATTAATTTCATTTCATTTTCAGTCATGTTGACAATGGTATCGAATTTTGCCATTGCTATTTACCCAAATCTCCCTCTTTAATCTCTCTATATATTCCCTTCCTTATTACTGTCGGTAGATGCAACTTAGAGACGAGGCAGCTAAAGACGGGATGAATGTAACTCAGGGACGGAGGCAGCTAAGTTGGGGCAGTTGCTCCCTGACTTTTTTTTTTTCTTTCTTTCTCCTTATTTTATTTTTAATTTTTTATTGTGTGTTTTTTTTGTAAATTTACAAAATACACCCTCTCAGATTTTTTTTTTTTTTTTTTTTTTTGGAATTTTAAGCAAGTATTAAAAAAAATAAAAAAATAAAAAAAAAATAAACTACAAATGCAGATATACCTTATAAACGATTATATGTCATCCCTAGAATGGACCCCATCCCCTGTTTCAGAACCTGCTCTCTGCTAATTAAGGACCCTGTATTGATTTCTGAAAGAAAAAACCAAAAAACTACAAATATGTGATGATGGGTGGAGCACGGGCAGAGACGGAGTTACATGGAAGTCAGTGGGGCTAATTTCCCCCCGCCCTCCTAATTTTTTTTTTTAGTAATATAATCTTATAATTTATTTATTTTTAGTAATATATCCATGAAATATTACTTTTGGCCTCCGAAAATTACTATTTTTTTTTTGAAAATTACACACCATAAAAGTGATGTAATAATGATAAAAATGCCTCTTAATATAAATTTAAGAAAATTTAGGTTCTCTTTAAAATAATTTTCATTTTAAGTTTTCTTTTCCTTTTTTATTTTGAAAAGAAAAAAAAATTAAGAAAAATTTAAAAATCCAAGGTATTTTTTTTTTTTAATTTTTATAGATGCACAAATTAATTTTTATTTTTTGAAAATAATTTTTAATAAAACCATGTTGAATGAGTTATTTATATTAATTTTAATCTTAGATTAGGGGCACCATTTTCTTATAGATATATATTATTAAGGGACATTTTGGTCATTAAGGGATAGTGTTGCAACAAACAAAGAAGTTGGGGTGGTTTTATGTGAATAAAAAACAAAAAATGGAAGGGGGTTTCCTGCAAAAAATTGAAAGGAGATGAGGGTTTTATGCAATTTGCCCTAATCATTTTTTAAATTTATATGGATCATGTTTAGAGAACTTGAATTGAATAAAAATTTTGAAATTAAATGATAATTCAAGTTAACCTGTTTATTTGAAGTCGGTGAATTTTTGTTGAAATTATTTACACGTATTTCAATTTGACCTTTGTTTCTACTCGTATTTGTTTATTTGTGTGCTATATACGTATTTTGATTAAAAATTGTTTATCTCTTTTCTATTTTTTTTTTAAAATTTTTCTGACAAGAAATTATCTTCATTGTTGATTTTATAAATAATTACTCTATCTGTATTAATTACTCACCAAGCTCTATTTTGCATGTACGAATACTTTTTACTGCTACAAGTGCTGTAAAGGTCCATCTCCAGTTGTAATCTAACCACACCAGCTCACTTTAACCAACTCCAGCTACTGTGAGCCTCCATTGAGTTACAAGTTAACCATCACTCCACTTTTGTCTTTCTCTTCCCTGCTCATCAGCAAAGCCAAATCTCGAAAGATATTGGCAATCAATTTTATGCCTTTTTCATTTTTATGTGTAATTCTTTCAACCCAATTTTTTTGGCAATGTCATAGAGACATTGTATTCAATAAAAGCGGTATGGTCTGACACTTTTTGCAAATATATATATATATTTTTTATATATTTGTTTTTATCGAAACTTTAAGCAACATCCATAGATAAGTATTAGGATTAGGATATACAATGGATGGCCTTAGGCCTGAAAAAATGAAGATTACATGCCTTAGGCAAACAAGGGCAAAGCCCAACCTAGGGACAAGCCCAAACTAAAACAAGATGGTAACCAGTTAACCACCATTAACGGCAAGATTAGCCGTTAATGGAAGAACGTAATTCAAATTGAGAGCATGAGAGCGCTCTCTAAAGCTAGGAAGGTGGCCACGCCTAGGGTGGTAAAAGTTTGACACAATTCGTTAACACGACACTGTACACACAAATTTTGTAAGTCTGCAAATAGAAACAAAATATGGAGCAAATAATAATTTATTAATTTAAAAAATTTGAGTACAATCCTCTATAATAATATTCTTTACAAATAAGACAGTCATCTGATTCGATCTCCTTTAGTTCGTTGGATCCAAGGGCTGCACGAGCTCATTCTTGAATCACCGTGGAATTTGATGAAGAACGGTACGTCGTTCGATGTGCTTGTTGTTGATCACCGTGGAATTTAATGAATCAAAAGAAATAACTGTTCACCTTCTTTTGTAACATCCTCTCCGATCTTTTGCCGTAGAAGTCTTGCTGCTCTCGCCGGAATCTTCCGACTTCCGGCCATCCCAACAAGGCGAGCCCTCGTGGTTATTCGAGGGAATTTGGGCTTACCACCTTGTTGACGATGAAGTCCTCGATTTTGGCTACCACCTTATCGGACCTATATACAAAATAGTAATAGGGTCGTAGTATAATAAGAATACTAAGAATGACAATAATAAGAACTATGAAATGTAAACAGACTTACAGAAACCAATTTATTGTAGCAGTTTACATTACTGGGTTAGGATTTTGGGCTATATAATGAATGCCTAATATAACCATTTGTAAAATGAAACATTACCACTTTTAATTTCAAATAATAACATAAATGATATGTTGAATTGAGTTATGTTTATATGTAACATTACTTTTTAGATTTTGTACAGCTTTATTGTTCTTAATTACTTTGTTGGTTTAAAATTAATTAATTAACGTGGAATTTAATGAAGAACGACACGTCGTTGGATTGCTTGATGTTCTTCGCTTTTGGGTTTGGATTCTGAATTTGTGTCTTCTGAGTCTCTGGATTTCTGGACTTCTGAATTTTGAATTTGTGTCTGAATTTCTGGACTTCTGAATTCTGACTTTGTGTCTGAATTTCTGGACTTCTGAATTTGTGTCCTTTGTTGAATTTGAGGAAGAACGGCACGTCTTTGGATGTGCTTGTTGTGCTTTATCTTCAGAGAGGATTTGTCGAATTTGGTGAAGAACGGCACGATTTTGGATGTGCATGGTACATGGTATTCTTCGCTTTTAGGTTTGCCCTCAGGACCTTCTGGATTTCTGAGTCTCTGGATTTTTAGACTCTGAATTTGTGTCTCTTGAATTTCTGAATTTCTAGATTTCTGGACTCTGGATTTCTGTCCTCCTTCTCCCTTCCTCCAGGCTTCTATTTATAAGCTTCTCGGATCCATAGGATGATGACACGTGTCCTTTCTGATAAGAAAAATATCATAACTGGGCTGGGCCGGTTATATTATGATAATTATCCTTAAAAATAATTATTCCAAATATATTTTATTAGGAATAATTATCTTTCCATTTAATCATCTAGGCTGGGCTAATTAAATAATTTAAGTGGACCAGCCTCGGTCCAATTAAATAACTTAATTAATTAATGGATCCATTTGTCAAAATTAAAACCCACTAAAATTTTAATGTCTACAAATTGCCCCCACTTCGAGTCCCACGCTCAACAGAACTTGTCTCCTTTTTCAAGTGGGACTTGAAGTATCCAACTTTTTTTTTTTTTTTTTAATTAGATTTTTTACTTTCCAATTTATACAAATTCCTTACCTATATATATCACCTAAGTCATAGGGTTTGAAATCAATTTCAATCGGCTCTGAAGGACTTGTAAGATTATAACCTCTGAAGATTGTGTTAAATTGCGACATCTATTAGAACAAATAATTGGTATGAATTTTTTTTTTTCACACTTGATGAAGAACACCAAAAAATATGTATATATATTTTTTCTTCTTCTCCATGCTTGCTGAAGAACACTAATTTTTTTTTTTTCCTTCTCCACACTTGCTGGAGAACTAAATTAATCGCGTCATGTTTGAGTTGAGGAGTTCAACCTGTGTAATCTGTTTACACCCGCTTAACTATACGTGTCATAAATATATTTTTATTTAAGTTTCAAAATAACTATCTAAACTTTATCTTATTTTATTATTTTATAGATTATATTTTTTTAGTTAGTTGACTTTTGACTTTTATAACTATTCAATAACTAAAGAGGTATCACGCAAAATTAACCAAACGTAATGGTTTAGGCTTAGTTTTTCCACTACTTTAATATGTAAATAATAAAGGCAAACTTGCCGGTATCCAAGCATTTAACCCTTACTTTAATGATGTATTTGTAATCACAATCTTTATTCACTATTTTTTAATATTGGAAAATAAATAAATAAATGGAGCTAGTACACTACACTTCATATAATGCATTTTTGGAGGGTCATTATTTTCAATGATTTTTCACATCCTCTCATCTGATTGGTTCATTTCAGAGCACACGGATCACCAATCTACCCGTCCACAGCCGTCGATTAGTTCCAAATCCAACGGAAGAATAAGAAAGCACACCCCATATATGATGGATGGATATGTTCGTTTCTAGAGAAAGTCCGTTGTTTGCCCTTTTCCTCTCTCTCGTCGGTTGGTGCAAGGAAATGAAGACTGGTGGTAAAGCAAAGAAAGGAGCTGTCTCTGTTTCTTCTCCACAGATTTGAGCAAAGACCACAACTTTCTACCTGCCTCGCCGATGCCCTTGTGTTCTGAACAGATCTCTCGGTGCCGGTTTGTATTCTCTCCGATTGTCTATTCCGATCAGCTTCGCCGGCGGTGTATTTCCACCTGTCTCTCCGTTTCCTCTCACACATTATCTTTCTCTCTCTAAAATTTGGAGGTAAGGCCCATTAACAAAACCCACCCACCACTACCACATTTTCTCTCTCTAAAATTCTCAATCTCTCTCCATGCCCTCATGGTTCACTTGTTCAAGCATTCATTTGCTCTCTCTGCTTTTCATCTGGTAGACCCGGTAAGTATCTTTTCTCTCATTCTATTTACAGTCATTTTTATTTTTATTTCGAATCATTTTATTACATTATTACAACTCCATATTACAAGCATTTGCTCTCTTTATAATGGGTTCTTTAACATTTATTGTACATTGGTTGATCTCTTATTTGTATTCCTTGATAAGTTTTGTATTTCAAGTCTGTCTTATTTATGATTATTTATTTGTGAGCTCTGAAATTTTTATGTGACGAAGTTTTTTTTGAATGCAGATTAGATTTATATCTTGTGAGAGGAAAATAATTGGAATGAGCAGTATCGGTAAAGGTATATAATAAATTTTTTTTTTTGTTTAATTAGAATTTATTGCTCATAAAATGTCTACTTAAATTTATGTTAAAATTTTGTGAGATACAATTAATGTTCTGGTTGGAACTCCTTTACTGAAGTAGTAGTTACTGATTGCATTATGAACTTGTGTGCTGTTAGTGGAAACTAGTCTTCTGGGCTTCATTTATTTTCTTTTGATTCCCTTGCTTTTCATCTGAATTTCTTTTCCCTCTATGTTTCCACCCAATTTTCGACTTTTATCTCTTTATGAATTTCTTTACAGACTCCACTTATGGATGTAATGATTTGCACCCAATATTATATTATTGCTACAAAATTTTTGAGCCCTGAGCATTTAGCTTCAATAATGAGATTTTTTTTTTTTTTGTGAGTGTTCTCTTTCTTAGAGCTTAGGAATACAACTAATGTTCTTAATAAAACATTAGAACAATGAAGGCATGAATCTATCATTTTTCTCTTTGTTTTTGTATTTTGTTTTTCTTCTTTTTAATTTGTTATCATTAAATTTTTATGTCTTCAATTGTTTGAGTTAAAAAAATAATAATAATAAATTTGTTTGAATAATAAAGTCGCGCGCCAGTGCGTGGGAGAGAATATGCAGCTAATACGTATACACCAGTACGTGATAATGGAGTATAGCTAATCACTATCGTGAACTAACTATATTTTTTTCTTACAGTCATTAGGACGTCCCCGCCGCCCTCGCTGTCGCCGCAGCCGCAGACGCACCTGTTCGGTTCATTCTGAACCGCTGGATGAAATTGTTGAATTTGGATTTAGATTTATGGATTTTACCGTTGACTGAATTAGCGAACCATGTGTTGTTTCTCACCGGAGTTGGATGAGGAAGATCCTCCTCCCACCCCACCCCACCCCACCCCACAACAACGCCGACGAGGCGTGGGGAGTAGTGCAGGGTGGCACAGTAAGGAGGAACGCACGTTTCGTGGACACCTTCTGTATGAACAATAATGCATTAACCGTTAAATTTTGTGTGATTAAATTTTAATTTGTGTTTGGTTTTAATTTTCTTTGGTTGGACTTCAGGAGGCAGACGGGGCGTATGGAAGACGAGAAAAATGGATGGTAGTGACCAGAAGGGAGGACTGAGAAGAGATTTGGGGTATGGGGAAGTGTGGGAATATGCTTTAGTTATATTACTTATTTATTGCTGTGTGGGGGTGTGTTACTTATATAACTTTTTAATTTCTTCTGATCTATCAATGGCAAAAAGGTTCAGTTCTTGCTTGATACACTAAAATCACTAATAAACATTAGAACACTGAAGGCATGAATCTATCATTTTTCTCTTTGTTTTTTTATTTTATTTTTCTTCTTTTTAATCAGTTATAATTAAATTTTTATGTCTTCAATTGTTTGAGTTAAAAAAATATATATATAAATTTGTTTGAATAATAAAGTCGCGCGTGCCACGGTGCCATTGCGTGGGGGAGAATATGCAGCTAATACATAACGTGATAATGGTACTGTGCGGCAGAGAATATGTAGCAAGGACGGGACATTTGGTGTCAAGTGTCATTATATAATTGCTTACCAGGAAAATGCAATTTACAATTTAAACCGTCTAAATAAAAATTGAAATTACACACTTGCCCTTTCTCAACAAGAAATTACAACTTTCAAATACCCCTGTACACTAGCCTGTTTGGGATTATGTTTGTAGCCTGTAAAAGTACGTTGAATTTGAAAAATGAAAAATGAAAAAATGCGAGTTGATAAGGTTGGAAATATGAGCGTTTGTGTTCGAGTAGAGTTTTTTGTATTTAATTTTTTTTTACAATATAATCTTCTCATTTTTAAAAGTAATTAAAAGTATTTAGTTGAGACTTTATCATCGAATAACACATATCCTACATATTATATATATATATATATATATATATATATATATAACTTGGATTTTTCAAAGACATACTTAGTATTTGAAGATTTTGTATTTATTTATTTGTTAAGAATTCTCTATAAAAGTGTATAAAAGTATTTTTCGAACCATTGATTTAAGAGAATGAAATTGTATTTGGCTAATGCACAGTTTTATTATTGTATAGGTAATACAATAAAATTATTAATAAAAATGTTTTAAGCAATACTAGTATAAAAAGTACTTTATATAATGCATCACTAAACACTTAACATGTTTTTACTAACAGCATTTTTATGACAGTTCTATTCACAAAAACGTTTTTATCATTACAACAGCAATACCAATTGGGCACGAACTCATAAAGAGCTATATTGACAATTTTTTCAAAAAAAGAAATCTTGTACTATGAAATAGAATATCTCAAACTATGGGTGAGAGAGTAAGTTATTTTCATCTTTATAACACCAACTCATTTAACACACACTGAAAAGGCTGTTTGCAGCAACCACTATAATATAGCTGTTGACCACTGAGAGTGTGTACAGAGGCGGAGTCAGTGGATGCCCAGGTGAAATTTCTTCTATTAATTTTTTCAGAAGTTGATTGGATGAGAAGAAAGGTTTTATTTATTTATTTATTTTATTTTTTAGTTGGTACTCACACATACGGTCTCCACTAACCTTCATTTGGGAAGTAGGAGCCTTGTATCACTAGGCCACTAGGCCAAAGTAAACCCGTCAACGAATCAGATCTGGACTGGATCAGAGTCAATCCGATTCGAATCTGATAAGTATATTAAGCGATCCGATCTAATTCGATAATCTGACGGATTCTAGTCAATCCATATCTGGTATCCACTCTATCGGATGTCCGATCCGATAAGTTCGATCCGATTATCAGTTATACCCTTTTGCAATTTAGATATAGAGATTAAGCACATTGATCCAGTATTAGGGTAAGAAAAGAGAAGATAATTTAGTTTATGGAACAAAGAATTACAAAATGAGTAAATAACACCTTACTAAATATAATGCATGATCTGAGCTTCTTGGCCTCGTGATTCCTTGTTGGATCTGAGCGGGGGAATTGCTTTGAAAGATGAAAAATTAGGGTTTGCAATTGAAAAAATAAAAGAGAAAAATAGAATAAACTACTCCGCAAGGTTAGACAATCGATAGCTAGCTCTTCCTTTTTCCTTCTTGCCATCGATCTATCAGACTATCACACTGCTTTCACTCATTGTTTGTCTCAAGTCTTCAAGCCAAATACGAATTTTCTCTCTCGTGTCTGGTATCAATTGAATAAGTGATAGGTACTATAAGATTTATTACTCTATGGGTCAGAACACCCTAATGTTGTACCTGAAGTGATTCCTTTTTTGTCGTTACATCTAGTACAAATCTGGTGTTGATATATATATATATATATATAAATATATATTATTGTAATCGGATTGGATTATTAACAGATCAGATCAGCCTAATTTATATTTGATTTGTTAAGTTAACGGGTTATCGGATTCGGATCGTTATCGGGTTATTGGATATTTTATTCAATTCATATCCGGATAATCGAATCGGATTCGGATCAGAATTCAATCCATTGACAGGTCTAGGCCACAGGCCTGTTGGTGAGAAGAAAGTATTAAGGGTGAGATAAAACAAACCGAGACTAACTGCGACGGCTCTACGTGCATGTACAAACGCGACGGAACAACTTTATTTTTAAACTCTCATCTATGTAAACAGTACAATGTGACTCACCCACTCTTAACTTTTTTCTCAAATTTATTGGATAATATTGAAAGCATAGACCGTACCACATTAACTTTAGTTTTCTCTATAAAGTTTGATATAAATATGAAATATATATGCATACATACTAGTAATATGGAACAATTAAAATGCCCACAAAATTACGCATGGGTTGAGGCCTGAAACAATTTTTAGGAAGCCCATGGGCTGAGGCCTGAAACAATTTTAAGGTTCATTTCTTTAGGAGGCCCACTTCTATGGCTTGCAATATAGAAAATGAAATAGAAGCTAGAAGAGAAACTGCTGGTTTGGTACAACAGCAATGAGTTTCTTTTGTATGAATAATTGTTTTATATTTTGTGAAACAAGGTGCGCTTTTATTTTAAATAATGTTGTTCCTCTGTATAATGTCTAAAAACTCATTTCAAAATGTGTAGACTAACTAAAAAAAATGTTTTAATCCATTAGCTAACGAGAAAAAACGTTGTTGGCCAGAAAATATTCGGTCCAAAATAAAATAGTCGTCTGCATTAATCAGAAGTCGAAAGTTATTTTAGGACTAGGCCGATCTTTCCAAGTGCTCACATTGACGGAAAAGTTTGGCACCTTGATGTAACACTCCTTTTTTTTTTTAGCGTAAAATAATTTCAGGAAATGAGCCGATCCCAAAATGAGGGAGCTCTAGCGGAGCTACCGACTACAATTGCCATTCATGTACAATCCATACAATATATCTACATTCCTTTTTTTAGTAAAGTTTTTTTTTTTTTTTTTTTGGTAAAGACTTTCTCTACATTCTTGACAACTCCATCTTTGTCTCACTAGAGTTTTACAAATTATATTAACGTTATATTTTAAATCATGATCTTCTACATTGGTTCTATGTTATTGGGAGCATATGTGAGATTTATGATGGTTTGTTTCTTACGGTGTTTTTTAGTCTATTGGGAATTTATTTTCCAACAACAACTTGGTACTACATAATTATTAACAATCTACACTCGCAAGTTGTCAATGATGTATCTATATATATATATATATTTATCTCATATAGAGATAGACATGCACTTGTATACAAAATATTACTAACAGTTCAAAATTGTGCAACATGTATTAACAAAAAATAAATGACAATTTTGAATCATTGAATTTGAGTTGAATGATTATTTTAATTTTATTTTTGTTTGGCTCCTATTATTTATTCTTTTGGTCAATTTTAAGAGTTGAAAAATCAATCCTAGTCATGTCAACACAACTATTCCTTCTTTAGACACTATTAACATGTTTAATTGTTCATCTCTTGTTAACTTTTATGTCAAAATTTTATTAATGTTGCTTTTGCGTTTGAAAGTATTAAATTCGTAATTTGATTTTGAGATTAAAGAAAATTTAGTATAAATTTTAAATTAAATTTTCTTCAATCCTAAATTCAAACCACCATACTCCCTCAGATAGCATAAGGGCTTATTTGAAGGACCCTTGATAATAAAAGACAAAATTCACAAATTATACAAATACTTTAAAATGAAAATTTTATAATTTTAAATGAGGCCATTGTGCAAAAAAAAAAGCTAATTATTTTTCGGCACCGTTAATACAAATGACTCCATTCTAGAAATTTAATAATAACTACATTGAAATATTATGTATCATTGTTTGAGACTTTCAAATTAAAGACGACAAAATTGAGAAATTTGGAAAACGGGAAAGAAAATTATTGTGCCGTCATGATGACAATCATGATAATTCAACAACGAATAATTCAACAACGAAATGTTCAAAACTGTAAAGACTGACATTTTGTTTCATAAAATCTCCAACAAATTGACCTAGAAACATTTGTAAATAAATTAAACACGGAGACCTCATAATCTCATATGCATCTTAGATATTTGAGGAGTTGATTAGGTTAGACTGATAGGTTGACTTGCTCGAATGTGAGCCTTGGATTTCTCCTTAGATTCAAGAAAAAGTGTGAAATAGAAGTTACGGTCTTTTGATAATAATTATGTTTCCAAGGCATATTTGAAAGTAGAAACTCGTGCTTTAAGGATATTAAAATACTTAGGTCAAGATTCCTAATGAGATCTTGAAAGGGCTCTTTGGGATTATCAACTTACTGCTTTTAGGATTCAGATTTCTGCTCATTCACATTTGTTTTTGTTGCAAACAAGTAATTTGTTTTCTTGTAAGATTTCAAATTTTCAACATACATTAAAAAATTATATAAATAAAGGGTTGTGTCAAATTCATAGAAGAACGAGTCTTAAATAGAATTCAATTAACACAAGACTTTTATTCTTTTCCCCGAATCCATGGAGACTTCTATCATTTTCTCTTTAAAAAAAAAAACCTTATTATAAGGTGTTTTCTTTGTCTGTATTTCGTGATTTTTTTTTTTTTTTTTCACACAAAACACAATTTTCAAAAACTATGTTGGAATTTGGATGCAATGATAAAAATTTGAATAGATTGACTGATTTGACCATAATAGTGGTCATTTTTGCACAAATAATGTTACAATTGATGTCTACATTTATCGAATTACCTCACTTGGTATGATGCCTGTGGATGATTTTTTTTTTTCTTTCTTTCTTTTTTTCTTTTTTTTTTTTTTTTCATAATTGGCATTGTATTGAGCTCAAAAAATAAAACCAGAATACAGGAGCACAGAGGGCATACCCTCAGAGAACAAAAGGAATAAGAAAAAGTAGGAGTATGTGCTTTAATGAATAAGCCCATTTCCAGTACAACAGCACTATACCAAAACAGAGATTACACACTTCCAGGAAGGCAGTTCTTGCCACCACCTCCAAGCGAAGGTTAATGGAACCATGAAGTCTATTGTTCCTTTCCCGCC